GGAAGTCACGAGGGAGCCAAGTCCTGCTCGCAGGTTCTCTTGGCTTACCTTCACGTGAAAACGTCCAGGAATCCGGTATAACAACATATTCGCCTGATTGAGAGCGAAGTATCTGATTGAGAGCGAGAGCCAAAAAAATTGAAATTTCGGGTCCAGACGCCTCTTGCCATTTCTTGGCAAGTAGGGGACGGGCTATTCCAAGAAGCGGTGCAAATTGAAGGTCTCATCAGCAGCTTCGCGAGCATATGCGTGTCATCGTCATCGGATGCTGCAGCGAGGAGCTAGACAAGTTGCTAGATTTGCCCAGATTGGCTATTTCTGCTCAAACTGTTTCAGGGCGGTATCGCGTCGGGCGGTGGGCTCTGCTGTAGCTTCTGCTCCCCGCTGTAGCTCCACAACGAGAGACTCCCACAGGATGACCAGGGTAGCGGCTTGAAGCTACGGGCTAGCCCTTCAATTCAAGCTACACAGCAAGCTCCACCTCTCAGTGGTAGTCCGGCTACAGCGTATCGCGCAATCTCGCTCTCAATCAGATGCTACGCTCTCAATCAGGCGAATATGTTGTTGTATCCGCAGCCGCCACAGCAGTACAGTAGTGGGCCCTATATAGTGCAGGGGTCTGTCGTGAGAATTTACCTGCACTATAGCAGGCACCTGCACTACTGAAAAGGGTGCCCTCCATAGTGCTGGTTCTGCACTATTGGGGCTTTGAATATTCCTCAATAGTACAGGTTCTGCNCAGCCGCCACAGCAGTACAGTAGTGGGCCCTATATAGTGCAGGGGTCTGTCGTGAGAATTTACCTGCACTATAGCAGGCACCTGCACTACTGAAAAGGGTGCCCTCCATAGTGCTGGTTCTGCACTATTGGGGCTTTGAATATTCCTCAATAGTACAGGTTCTGCACCATTGAGGCACTCTTCGACTTCACGTTGTGAGTGTGGCGTCCGCGCTTTGCGGGGCCAACAGAGTACGAAATGGATCAAAATTGTGGATTAAAAGTGGACGAAGCTAACTCTCAGTCCTCGTTGCCTGCCTTCCCTCGATGTTGGTGATAGAAAAAGACTTGCGTGTATAAAAAAAATACGACAGAAAGCCCACTGCAAAAACACGAGCAACCATGTACTGCTGGCCCCTGCCATCATTACGTGATGATCAAACTCTCATGTCTCCCTGGCGCACCTGGCTTCGATTTAGCAAGAACCAACACACACACAACCAGCCAGGCGCAACCTCACTCCGTTGTGCCAATTTATCTGACCCCTGCCGCGCCGGCTGCTATGTTGCAAGAAAAAAAAACACAAAAAGAGAGAAAAACATGCAGGAAGGTCACTGCAAAGAAAAATCAAGCAAGCATGCACCCCGCACCCTTTCTAACGTCGTGACAAACTCCCTTATGACTGCCCGACGCACCCGCTGCGATGTTGCGGGAAAAAAACAAAAAGAAACGAGAAAGGCGCATAGGAAGCTGACTGCAAGGAAAAAAAAACAACCACGTACACCCGCCGCCTTCACTACGTCTCGACAAACTCTCTCATGTCTGCCTGGCGCACCCGCTTAGCGGCATGCGCTGCGATCATCGCCATTTTTGCTTTCTGCAGATGGAACGCCGCGTCTCCATTGCCACTCTCATCTGCTGCCGATTCCAGGACGCCGAAGTGAGGTGACAGCTCACTATAAGCCGGTGGAGCACGGCGCTCGCGCCCCGTGTTCTCACCGCCACCGCCATCTTCCGTTTCATCTTCCTCATCGCAGCCGGAAGAAATTTCTTCTTCGTCGGGCGTTGAGATGGTCCCGCCCCAGCACCCTCAGCACCCTCAGCTGGTATCTCTTTGCGCTTGCCAGCTCTTGCGACGCACGAGCAGCAGATTCGCCTTGTTTCGATGTCGCCAACCATGCTGCCGCAGTTGCCGTGGAGCCGCCCGCCACATCCTCCATGACAGACGTGGCCATATGGGACTTGCGGCGTCTTGTCTGATTGGTGGCACAGCTCACCGTCCGCACAAGGCATGGTGCGCCTCTGCGCTGCGTACAGCTTTTCGGGTCTGCAGCAGCACGCGCGCCGCGTTTGTGTTGTTGCGTCTATCCGCTGTTTGCGAGTGTGTGTCTTGTTTTTCTCTTGATCGCGTGTTGTTGATGTTGTTTTTCTCCCATCATTGGACTCTGTCGTCTGCCCCTCTGGCCCCTATCCTCCACTTCTACTAGCTAGACGACCCAACCGGGGTCACATAGGGGGGGGGGGTTGGACCCCCTCCTGCGGTTCATGCCTGAGGTATTTTTATCGCGAGAAGGGTACAGCAATCCCTTCCCTCGCGACTTAGGGAGTCGATTATGGTTTACTAACAAACGAGCTTTGCAGCGCGTCGCTGTCATCCTAGACCAGGATTTATTTAGTGAGAAAAAACCTCTCTCTGCCGGGACTCGAACCCATGACCTGGCCCTTAGCAGGCTGCGAGGCTACCCACTAGACCACCGGGGCGACCGGTCGCGTGTGTGTGTGTGTGTGAATGTTTCTCCACCTGCACTATTGAGGGCGCCGTCTGTGCGCAGATATTTTACCTGCACTATATCGGGCGGTTGCACTATTCAAAATGCACTATAGGGGGCCCACTACTGTATGTACTGGTGTACTGTGTAATGGTAGTAGCAGGAAATCCAGGTTGTACCCATCCGTTGTCCAAAAAGATTTGTGATTCCGTGAGAGAAAGAGATACCACCGCCGTCGAAGGGTCGAAGGCACTGTCTGCCAGATGTAGGCTGTGAGATGGATGGAGCCACCTATGTGTTCTTAGCCTGCCCGCCCGTGAGGGTCGGGACGAGGCCGCTTGGTTGGTAACACAGCAGAGTGTGTGCGCGGTCTCGGGTGAATGCCAGCCTAACTTCCCGATTAGCCCGGTGCCGGTACGCTCGGTACGGGTACGCTCGGTACCGGTTTGAACATGGTACCGAACGTACCGAACATCTCGGTACCGGTATGGACATCGTACCGAACATCCCGAACATCTCGGTACCGGTATGGACATCGTACCGAACGTACCGAGCATCTCGGTATCGGTACGGAGTGTCATACCGGCACCGCCGGTATCGGTACGGACATCGTACCGAACATACCGAGCATCTCGGTACCGGTATGGACATCGTACCGAACGTACCGAACGTGTCGGTATCGGTATGGGCATCGTACCGAACGTACCGAACATCCTCGGTACAGGTATACCGGAGGTATTCTACCGCCGGTACGCCTCGGTAGTACCTTACCGAACACGCCCTTGGTATTTTGAATCAACACGAAAAAAAACGTCGTTTGAAACAACGCAACACCACCCAAAAGGCACTGCCCCCGCTCGCGATCTTTCCTCCCCTGCACGAGGTCGAAGAGGTATTTATTGCGCAGCACGTGTATAAGCCAGAGCTACTGATGGCGCAGTAGCGATGGAAAGAGCTGCAGTACCGCCGGCGGTACAGCCTTTGCGCCGTGACACAAATGTAGGCGATGACGAAAGAAACGCCGAGGTTGATGGATGATGGCAGGCATATTTTTTTTTTCAACACGAAAAAAAACAGTTGATTTGACACGACTCATCAAAAAGAAACTGCCCACGCTTGCAACCTTTCCTCGCCTGCCTGAGGCCGAAGAGGTACTGCGCAGCAAGTACGTAAGCCAGAGCTACTGGTGCCGCAGCAACGGCAGAAAGAGCTGTAGTAGCGCCGGCGGTACAGCCTTTGTGCCGTGGCACAAAAATCATTTCACCGAAAAAATGCAACAGCAGCAGCAGCAGCAGCAGCAGCAGCAGCAGCAGCAAGAAAAAAAACACACGCACAAAAAAACCAAAAGCTCTCGCACATCATCCCAGGTGCTCCGGCCACCAACGCGCTCGCTTTTCCTCCGCCCGCGCCCACGAACCTAAGACGACTGCCCACCACCCCGCCCCCTATCAGCTTGTGCTGCTACCTGGCGTAGCTCTCGCTGCCTGCTTGCTTCAACTTTTCCTGCTGCTGCTGCTTCTTTTTCTTCTGCTGCTACTCTCTTCTCCTTTCTCTTTGCCGCGTTCGCCTTGTTCTTTTGTACGCGGGCGGCGTCAGCTTTCGCCGTTGCGGCGTCGCGGCTCCGTGTCAACTCCTTGACGTCTGCCCTCCTCACCAGCCCGTCGAACCTTGCTTGCGACGCCCTGGCCTCCATCGTCATACCATGTTTTTCGACACATGTCTCGTTTTGTCTCGATAACTCTTCTTGCTTTCGTATTTTCCTCGAGTCTGGCGATTTTTTCTTCCCAGACGTACCCATGAATACCCGATGAGTACCCGATCTGGGGATTCGTTTTGCGCGACGATGACGCAGTGGATTCTAGGGTGGCTTTTTGCGTCACCTTGCTGAGGAGGAGAGCTACGATTTCATTGGCGGCGATTTGCGTTGAAGTCGCTCACGTTCGTGGCAGCAGGCGAAAATGGCCGAAAATCACTTGTTTGTAGAGTGTTCGATGAGTTGGAACCCGCCGTTTGAAAAACTGACCGATGAATCCATAGATATGTCCTGCTCATGGTGTGTACTGAACCGCAAGAGCCAGCTCGTTTGTGGCATCGAGTATTTCGCGTTCTTCTCTCGCTCTTCAATATCAAGTCAAAACAAGATTTGGCGCCGGCGACCTGAAAAAAAGCGGAAAAACTTTATTTTTGTGGTTTTTCGACCAACAGCCCGCCCACGCGCATACATACACCAAAAAGGGGGGTCAGGCGCAGGGCTAACAGTCGCAGGGGTGATGGGGCGTATTCTGACGAATACGTTGTACTGCTGTACGAACCAATCCACATTCTGTTGTACAAGGACTGCACGCTGACAGAATGGCTGCTGCTGTGAACGTACACGCCACAACTCACGAGTGAAAAAACATGCTGTAAATTTATTTATTTGTTGTGTACTGCACATGGTACACTAAACAACAAAGGATTTACCACTGCTGCTGCCGACTTGACTGACGGATTACAGCAAGTTTCGGTGACACAGCAGTAGTTTGGGGGACACAGCAGTGGTACTCTCGGCATGTATGTGCCCATGTACAAACTACATGTAGACGCAGACTACAGGTGCTTTACGCAGTGGGTAACAGCAGCACCGTCGGTGGCACCAGTAACCTCGATGCCCGAGACATGATGGCTTCTCCTTTCAACAACCTGGCTGACGCTATCTAGCAAGTAGGGCATGCTCTCGGCATCTTGCTGCTTGGCGCTTGCTCGCCTTGGCCGGAGGTGCTGCCTGGCGGCCGGCCGAGCAGGGAAACCGAATGCGGCTGGACCTACAGCAGCGCCGTTAACCGCCCTGTTTGCTGAATCCTGCCGGGATTTGCCCTTGGTGACTACTACCCCTCTCTGTGTTGGACCCTACCGTGGTGTCGCGCGTGTGGGGCCGTTATCTGTGGCGTGCGTGTTGTGTTTTAAGGGGCATACTCACTCGCCATCACACGCGGCGAGATTGATCTGGAAAGTTGCCTTGCAGCGCGTTTACAATGAAGATGTTAATTCCAAATATTTGACTCCAAATATTTGGAAACGTTTAAAACGGATTTTTCGGCCTGATAATAGTTCCCCTAAGGGGTATTATTACCAGGCCGAAAAAATACGTATTTTTTTTCACCCAAATAGTTGCTTTTTTCACGGAACCGTGACTAGGGTTTCCGGTGGTTTTCATCGGCAGAAGGCGCGAAGGCCCTTATTTTTTCAAAATTTACGGAAAGCGCCACGGCTCGACGTACACACACCGGTCCCGACCAGGCGAGAGACCCGAGGACTCCCACAACAGACGTGATAA